CCTAAACATATCTCTCAGGGAGTCTGTGTCTTGTGGTTTTGTTGCTGTAATCCGGTGTGATTGTGGAGCCCTCTTGGTATGGTGGCAGAGGGGGTACATTCAATAATCTTCTAATTAAATCTGTTAGTCGGTCTGTGTGGGGCGGCTGGGACCTCTCAAGTGTTTCTCCAGTGGTATAACTTTTGCCTCCTTACCCTGCACTGCCTCTCCTGGTTGCAGCATTCCCAATCTATTTCCTTGGAGCCTTGACCCCTGCTGACTGCATCTCCTCCCCCTTAGGTGAGAAAGACGATTGGAGAGAGCTAGAGTGGGAGGAATGTCCTTCACCCAAGCTGGAATAAGACTCTGGTAAACTCCCTGAAATGTAGGCTTTTTTTTATGGAGAAGGCTCTGGGTGTATTTCACAATGGTTACCCTTTTCTGCCAGAGCCCTGAGGGAATATTTCTTGTATCATCACCTTGTAAATCTGGTAGGATTCCTGGAGCTAATGGCAATGGAAGTATGAGGGACCCCTTAAGACTATGGCCCCCAGGAGTTCCTCATTCTCAATCTGGCCCATACTCGACCTCTAGCAATTCATGAAAATTACCATTTGTTTTCCTACCAATTTATGGCTCCAGTAGCTTCTGCTCCAGCTAAGCAGATTTTGGCTGTGCTTTGGATGTGCCCGTCTCTTCAGATTTCAGTGTTCCAACCTCAGTTCTCAGAAAGATAAAAGGAAAGTCATTGATTTTCAGTTTGTCCAGCCTTTTCTTTTAAGGATAGGAGTGATGACTTCCAAGCTGTTTACATGTCATAGCTAAAACTGGAAATCCCAAAAAGTTTCTGAGTGCTGGAGAATTAAAGAATACTGAATGCCAACAAAATCAAAAAAATTCTTTAACTGCTCAGTTAAAACTGTTTAAATGCTGAAGAGGAAGGGTAAAATTTCATGATGATTACTTCAATGTCAATAGAACAGACATCGGATGTTTTCTGTGTAGCGTCATGCAGAATACGGGCAGGACGGCAGACACTTTCAATAGAATACTCCAGGCTTAGCTTTAATTTTGAATAAAGATTGTTTATACTTTTTACATTTTTTGTAGAGATGGGGTCTCACTATTGCCCAGGCTGGTCTCAAACTTCTGGCCTCAAGTGATCCTCCTGCCTCGGCCTCTCGAAGTGCTGAGATTATAGGTGTTAGCCACTGTGCCTGGACAAAAAATTGTTTGTACTTTAATGCATCTACCTAAATTTGTATTTATGTTATATCCACCAAAGCAGTAAAATTTTCTTTAATAACTCAATTGAGGCTCTGCAAAAATTTTATATTGTTTCTGAGCTCTAATTTAGAAGGTAGAAGATAGTCTTATAAGCAAGATTTTTCAAAAGAAAAACATTACATAAGGGAATTTTTTTTTGTCATTGTGATTATTTGCACCTGGGGTTATACTGTAAAAAGATAAGGCATTTTAGATTTTTAATGATCTCTGCAATAGCAAATGGAGCGATTACATTTTTATTATTGTGGTGGATTTTATCCTAGCACTTGAAAATGTTTGCAATTTTAGAATCAGAAAATATTTTTGTTATGTTCTATTGGTCATTTGAGCTGAAAAGATTGATGTGATGATATAAAGTGTGGAAGGTCATTACAACTTCTGCAATTATTTTATTTTCATTTGAGTTTCTTTTAATCAGAAATTTGTTATTTTATCCCTTTCTTTAGTAGTTTAGGATATATCTTTTAGGCTTACTTGTTAGTATATGTTGGTTTATATCTGACTTTTCATCCTTTTTTATATTGAATGAACAATTACATACTGCAGAAAGAGCTTCAAAAGGACTTTTCCCTAATTTAACAGATACACAATGTTTTGAAAATTAATCATGAAATTTACACTTACATTGAAATATGCACAAATGAAAGCTAATAGGGTATACCTCATGCAAAGTATTAATACAAAATATAAAATTAAAAATAGATTATAGCAATCACCACAAGAATCGAAAATACTGAATAATCTCACTCACAAGGTTGAAGCACAACTAACAGTAAATTGGGGTTGAATTGTTCAAATAGTTGCAAACTTACAAACTAACAATAAACTGAACTTGATATTGTGACATAGAAAAGGTGAATTTCATGTGTATCCGCAAGGGAGAGCTGTATTGGCAAGGACAGTCTCCTGAAGAAAGCCAGAGCTGATTTTATCCAAGGTTTTCGGAAGCTTGGTGTCCAGGACTTGGTGGATTTTCCGAAGCAGGAGCGCTTACAGATTGTCAGACTTTCAAGTGTGTTAGTGCGGTCACCGCAATAAGACTGCTATTGACTGGCGTACTTTCAGAAGCATGGTCACCGGAGCGAGGCGCATGCAGGCTGACAGCTAGGAGCACCAAGCAGTCACTAATTGGCTGACCTCCAGGAGCTGGAGGCTGTCATTAACTTGCTAACTTTCGGAAACACAGCCCCTGAAGTGAGGCTGTCGCTGAATGATTTTCAGAGCATGCGTACTGATCCAAAGATCTAATTATTTAAGATTATTTATGACTAGGGACTTTTGCCAAAAGAACAGTCTTTTCCTTTCTTTAGTATGGAAAGCAAGTACTTTTATTCTCAGTTTCCCCTTTTTGTCTTCCCTCAGTCAAACATAGGAGAGACTACGAGGGATTGTTCAGATCTTTATTTGCAGAGATATGATTTCTAGCTTGAATTGGCACTAAACTTAAGTATGATTTCTAGCTTGTGTTGCCACCTAAGCAATTTAAGTGCCAATTACTGAAGCATAAAAATATCTGTAAATGATGATTTTTCATTAATGGGGAAAAAACCCTGAGTACATTTAGGGTGTCCTGACAAAGTCAATACCAGATGCAGGACAAAATCATTAAATACAGCACGTCTATCTGGCAACCCTACCTGTGAGTCAGCTTAGCTTTCTTCTCACGCACCATCATCACCTATTTGCTTGCAAACCATGTCTTATTCTAATACATGATTATCTGTCTCCTGTTCTCCACCCACGCCGTCCCTGCTTGAGTTTGGACCTCATTCATCACTTGAATTACAATAGCCCAGATTTCTAGGCACCAGTCTGCCCAGGTTTCTTCAACCCCCTAAATTTATGCCCTACACACTGTTGCCAGGACAATTCCCTTTCTTAACATTTTTGACTCCATCCAGCAATTTTAGGATAAAATCCAAACCACTTAGCATGGCAAACAAGGCTTTTTGTTAACTGGCCTCTGCCTTCTACTCAAGCTTTAACATCTCTCATTCTCCTGCTCACTAGTTCTACACGTAAGTCTCCCAAACATGCCAGTATTACTCACTTCTACTTTGGCACATGTAGTTTCCTCTTATTTGGAAATTTTATTTCACCCTCAGAAGACTCCTATTATTCCTCCAAACTTGGTTAAGGCATTGCTGCCTCTGAAAAGCTTTCTTTCAAATGTCCAGGCTCCCTTGATGAGGTCTCTTTCATCTTGTGCAAATTTTACAACATTCTTGTACGGCAACATACTGTCATAACTTATTTGCCTATTACAACAACCACGCTTACATACTGTGATATAATTTGCTTACTGATTTGCTAGTTCCTCCCTGTCAATTTATGGCTTCTTGAAGAAAGGACTGTCTTTCTTCTTAAAACTTGCAGTGTGTGGTACAGTATCTGCCCCAAAGTTAAAAAAAATTGCTAACTGCTTTTCAGCCTTTTGGCTAAGATCAAGTATAGTATCTGTTCTTATCAGTTTAATACCTGATACACTCTCTATTCAAGGACAATATATCAAATGGATTTCTGGAGCAGGGAGATGTAATAGGAGCTTGTTCCAGCCACTCCACACATCAACCTAGCATTGCAGTACCTCCAGGACTGCTATACCCATCCCGCAAAAATGAAAAAACAAACACCCCCACATTTACTCAGTTTATGAAGTAACTGACACCTATCTTAGTATGTCTGGGCTGCTATCACAAAATACCTCACACTGGGTAACTTGTAAACAAATGAAATTTATTTCTCACAGTTCTGGAGGCTGGGAAATCCAAGATTAAGATGCTAGCAGGTTTGGTGTCTGTTGGAGGCTGTCTTCTGGTCCAAAGAAGGTATATTCTTGATGTGTTCTCATATGGTGGAAAGGCAAAACAAAGTCCCTTGGGCCTATAAGGGCACTAATCCAATCCATGAGGCCTCCACTCTGATGACCTAATCACCTGCCCAAAGACACCACTTCCTAATACCATCACCTTGGGGGTTAGGATTTCAACATACACATTTTGGGGGAACACAAACATTCAGACCACAGCAATGTCCTTTTCAAGATTTTGCCATGGGTGTTAGAATTGTTAAAATTCTGATAAGTCCTTTTGCTGTAGCTTTAGACTTGGAATAATTGCCTATTTTTCTCTTTAATACACCTAAGATGACAGCTCACAGGATATAGCAGGTATATTTTCATAATAAATATAACTTCAGGGCAATGAGAGCATTTCTGAGTACAGACTTAAGAATTGAGTAGAAAATTCCCAATTCACAGCAATTACTAGAACAAAAGAGACCAGACTTTTATTTTTCTGTTTTTTAATGAAATTCATGCACAAATTCATGCAAATTCATGCACATACCTTTACCAGGTCAGGTAAAGGACAAATCCCAGAGACTGAGAGGTAGTTTACAGTTCATTTTTCCCTTATTTTGGTCCTTTTCTCTAAAAATGTATAATTTCTTCGATCAATTCTTTCATATGCTATGAAAGTGTTACATAAAAATATTACCAGTGTATATACTTTGGTATTTTCTCTAACGAGAAATCCAGAGCACACCTCCCCACCTACTTAGATGTTTCTAATGATCACATATGATACCTAGCACACACTGCTATAGAAAGAGGGAAAACAAATACCTTTTATTTTATAAATGACCAAAGTTAATGTGTCCAGTTGTAAATTCTTCATCTCCGGCTATTTTTAAAAGAGTCTGACCGGCACAGACACTTTCTTCCTATCTATTACATAGTCAAGGTTTATCCACAGAATTTAATATCTAATGAGTAAGTAAACATAAGAGTTTTTCATATCCATTACATTTATACATAACTCTGAAGTATATATTTTCTGATGAACTTTGGTTTAAGGCTTTCACACATGCAAATCTACTTTCTAGGAGTCCTCTTCAATATGAATTTTATAATGATTAGTAAGGGATGACCTGTGGTTGAAAAGTTTCCCACATGTATTACATTCATAGGGTTTCTCTCCAGTATGAATTCTCTGATGTGCAATACGTGATGAGCTTTGTCTGAAAGTTTTCCCACATGTGTTACACTTAAAGGGTTTCTCTCCAGTATGAATCCTTCGATGTTGAATAAGAGCCGAACTTTGGCCAAAAGATATCCCACATTCCTCACATCGATATGGTTTCTCTCCAGTATGAATTCTCTGATGATTACTAAGGGATGAATTACACCTGAATGTCTTCCCACACTCACTACATTTATAGGGTCTTTCTCCAGTATGCATTCTCTGATGTTGAATGAGAGCTGAACTCTGTCTGAAGGCTTTCCCACACACTTTGCATTTACATGGTTTCTCTCCAGTGTGAATTCTCTCATGTATAATAAGTGTTGAGTGGGAACTTAAGGCTTTGCCACATTCATTACAATTATAAAACTTCTCACCAGTATGAATTATTCGGTGTCTATTAAGTCGTGAAATAGAGGTGAAGCCTTTTCCACATTCGTTACATCTGTAGGGCTTTTCTCCAGTGTGAATTCTTTCATGTTGAATAAGAGATGCACTCTGACTGAAGGCTCTCCCACATTCACTACATTTAAAAGGTTTCTCTCCAGTGTGAATTCGCTGATGATAACGAAGGGATGAGCTAGACTTAAAGGTGTTGCCACATTCGTTACATAAGTAGGACTTCTTTCTGGAATGAATTCTTTGACATCCAGGAAGGGATGTGCTACAACTAGATGGCTTCCTACCTGGATTATATTTACAAGGGTTTTGTTCAGCATGAATTTTTTGATGTATAAAAAGGCCTGACCTTCGGCTGAAGGATTTACCACATTCTTTACACCTATAGGATTTCTCTACAGTATGGGTTCTTAGATGTTTATAAAGGGATGTACTGAGAGTGAAGGCTTTCCCACATTCTTTACATATGTATGGTTTCTCTCCAGTATGAGTTATTTGATGTTGAATAAGAGCTGAACTTTGGCTAAAGGCTTTCGAACATTCTTTACATTTAAATAATTTTTCTCCACTGTGGTTTTTCTCATGTTTACGAAGGGATGAAGTGTTAATGAAGGTTTTTTCACACATACTACATTTATAGCGTTTCTCTGCTGTGATTTTTGGTTGATTAAATAAATTTGAATTCTGTTTGTAGCTGTTTCCTTGTAGGTCACATTTTGGTGTTTTTTCTCTGGGAACTGTCTGTTGCATCACAAGAATTGATCTGGGGCTGATGTTTTGAATAAAATCAATATTTTTATGGCTTCTTTCTACAGTCGGGATTTTTTTGTGGGTAACTGAAACCATATGAAAACTTTCCTTTTTATCTTGCTTTTTCTCTAATCTGCCTTCATGTGTACAAGGCTTTTCTGATTTCAAGTCCCAGGGCCCATTTTTGGATCTTTTCATTATCAGGCCCTGAAATAAAGAGTCTTGTGTTTGAGTTGACTTTGTATTCCATCCTGGAGGGGAAAAAAAAGAAACTGAAGATGTTTCATGTGATATCACAGCATTTAGCTACTGAGACTAGATGTGTAGAATGAATAAATAAATATCGCTGATATTTAAATATGGGCCTAGTATCTGGTCAAAACATAGTAAGAAGAAAAAACAGGAGAGTTAGTATAACAAAATACAATTGATGGACGTTGAAATACTAGGGAAAAGAAAAGAATAAAGCACACCCATTTAAAGAGGGTAAGAGGGTAAGAAAGTAAGAGAGTTAAGAGTTACCAGAAGAATTGGGAGAATTGAGAAAAGGATTATAAGGAGGGCATGAGTTGGGAAAGGCAATTTGGGTCAGGATCCAAAGCACATTATGGACTCCTAAATTATCTTCTTGATGATTTTATTTGTGTAATTATTCCTAACCTAAAAAATCTTCCCCCTTTTCTCTCATACCAAATTTCTGTGTATCCTTTAGATTTAGTTCAAATATTAACTCTCTCTGAATTCTTTCTTGATTCTGAGCTTCCAGTCTTACTCCCCTTAATGTAGCACTTACCAGAGTGTTAAATATATGTATTACACACCTTTATATTATATACACACACATATATACTGTATTATATTTATATTTCTTTCTATATCCGTATCTCTCTTTCTCTCTCTCTTTCTCTCTCACTTTCCTTTTCTAACATGTGTTCTTCACAAGCAGATTAGCATGCACTATTTTCCTACAGATTCTCTTGATGGCACTGCAGTTATATATAAAACTTGTTAGTCTTATCAATCTTATTTATATATTCCTAATTTGAACAAGGTCAATGTTCTTAATTACTTACGTATTAATTTCATATATACAAATATACATATATATTATACATACACACACACACACACACACACACACACACACACACACACACGCATCTCAAACCCCCGCATAAGTTGTCTTCCAGGACAGTACATGGGTGATTGAAGAGGTTTCAGGGCCAGTTCAAACAAGAAAGCCTTACTGAATTAATCTACAGAGGTGCCATAAGGTAGGCATGAAGCTGAGAGCTGCAAGTTAGGAAGGCAGCCTGAGTTCATGCATCAAGCAAGAGAGGCCATGCAGGAAGGGCTCCAAAAAGTCAAAGATCAACAATAAGATAGGCATGGATATAAAAAGGTAAAGCAAGGTTAACATGAAAAAGTAGTAAAGAACAGAATTAAAAAAATATTAAAATTGGGTGAGGATACAATTCAATATTAAATTCTGTCAGGAGAACTGTGCACATAATTTGGCATTTTCTCCTGGGCTGGAAGTAACCATTTAAAGAGATTACTGGCATCTCATTGTATTTGCCATTCCCATCTATTTAACATTCACTTTCTCACCTCTGTACAAATTACTCCTGCTTTATTAAATGCGGTAATATATTCTGCTTTTTTCCCCCCTACCATTGTTCACTTCTCAGTTTCCTTCATGGATAACTCTTTTTCCATTCCTTTTTTAAAAAATGGTATTCCCTAGAGTTTTGGACTTTTTTGCCCACTCTAAATACCTTCCTTGACTAATTTTATATGCATCCATACCTTTATTATTTATTGTAAGGGAAAGAGGAGTTTTGTTACCTTCTTCTTAATACCTTTCTATTTCCCTCCCCATTTAAGTCTTGCTAAATTAAACAATCAAATTTCAATACATAGCCAGGCACAGTGGCACATGCTTGTAATCCAGCTACTACAGAGGCAGGAGGATCATTTGAGCCCAGGAGTCTGAGATCAGCCTGGGCAACAGAGCGAGATCTCATCTCAAAAAAAAAAAAAAATGCAATACATTGTTTGGGCCAAACATTTAGGGGACAGTGACAAAAATGGAGTCCTTTCCCCTGTGTATATCAGTCGTTGTTTCTAGGTTTTAGTACACGTGCTGCGAAGAGGGTAGCAAGAGTCTGCAATTTAGACTCTAACGTATAAGGTAACGGTAGAGATCCTGCCTTAGGCCTTAGGGTAAAGAAAGGCTGCAGCTATGTGACCAACTCACCTTTATGAGAAACCTGAGCATCAGGATTGGGTACCTAGGTGGTATTTTGTTTCCCATGCATTACTGTCTCTACCATAATCTCCTAACTAGTGTCCCTGTCTTGAGTCTTGCCCTCTTTCAATTCAGTCTACACACTGCAGCCTTTCTAAAATCCATCCCTCATTCTGTTGCCAACTTTCTTAAGCTCCTCCAACAGATTTTTTCAGTGATTCATGTCTGAAGTCCAGAGTCCTTTACATGGTAAACAAGGCACTTCATGATCTGACCTTTGTCCACCTCTGGCCTCACCTCCCTCCCTTATTGCCGAGGTATGCTGAACTACATGCAGCACTCTCTTTTTTTCTCTTATTTCTTTATTTTTATGTAAATGGGGACATGCTTTCCATTCACGAATATTCGTGAAGTGCGTACTATGGGCCAGGTAATATTCTGGGGAATGCAGATAATGTGTTGAATAAGACAGGGTTCCAGTTTCAAGGAGCTTACACAGGGAGGAAGGGAGAATGATGTGACAAATAACAAGTAGATAAATAGAAGCCATATGTATATCTGAAGAAACAGCTTCCCAGGTATAGGAATCAGCAAACACAAAAGTGAAAGTGTGGCTGGCTTTTGAGGAACAGCAAAGAGACTAGATGCAGTGCAGTTAAGAGGGAAATGGTAAAATGATAAAATAAGACTGGAGCAAGAGATGAGGGGCAAATCCTCTGAGGCCTCCCAGGTCATGATAAGGACTCTGGAATTTTACTCTAAGCCTGATGGGAAGCCACAGAGGAATTATGTGCTCATCTGCGTTGGCTACTGTGCGGAGAGGAGACTACGCTGGGGCACCAGTGGAGCAGGGAGAGGAGAGGCTACCTCGAAAGCAGAAAGGGGTTGAGGTACAGATGACTGCATCAGGACATACTGTGAAGGAAGACCTACTGGGACTGGAACTAACAGGACTCACAGAGCACTGAGACAGAAACAAAAAAGTTAGGGATCACTCCTAACTAGGGATCATTCCTAGGCTTCTAGCCTGAAAATGCTAAAAGCTGGTACCAGACACTGAGAAGAAGACCACGAAAAGGGCAAGTCTGAGCGGGTATTCTGTTTCAGATATGTTTGTCATGGCTAAGCTGCCTTAATAGACACAGAAAGAAGATACTCAAAGGTTCATTTGTGTATATTATTCTGGAGATCCAGGAGGTCAAAGCTATAGATAATGCATTTGAAAGTTGTCAGCACGTTAGTTTTATTTAAAGCCAAGGAACTGAAAGAATCACTTAGGTACTGCAATATTTAGAGGTTGGGCAGGTGTGGTGGTTCATGCCTATAATCCCAGCACTTTGAGAAGCCAGAGGTGGGATGATTGCTTCAGGCCAAGAGTTCAAAGCCAGTCTGGGCAACATAGTGAGACCCTGTCTCTACAAAAAATTTAAAAATTAGCCAGTTGTGGTGGCCTGTGCCTGTAGTCCCAGCTACTTGGGAGGCTGAGGCAGGAGGACTGCTTGAGCCCAGATGTTTGAAGCTGCAATGAGTTATGATCCTGCCACTGCACTCCAGCCTGGGTGACAGAGTGAGACCCTGTCTCTAAAATAAAAATAAAATAAAAAGAAAAGAAAGAATATGTCAAGGTTAAGAAGAAGAATATCAGGAGAATATGATATTCCAGAGCCAAAGGAAGAAAGTACTTCGGGAGGAGTGAATGATAATTGCAACAAATAATTTGATGACTAAAAACTAAACCCTGATTATGGCAAGATGGAGGTTCTTTAGGATATAATAATAGTGCTTTTAGTGGAATAATAAAGAAAGCTCAAATGGAATGCACAGAGGAAACAATGGGAGGTGAGAATACAGAAACATCAAGAATAGAAACCCTTTCAAACAGTTTTATTTAAAGGAGAATAAGGAAATGAGACATGGGGAATTTTTATTTTTTAATGGACATAATTATAACGCAAGGGTCCATACCAATTCTGGGAAACTCATCCCAACTCTAACGTGCCAATACCTTAGTCCTGAATTCATGTTTTCCACTAGGCAGACATGAGTCTTAGATTGTAGACATCTTTACTGTTCCTTATGATCTGCTTAGAATTTTCTATAGGCATATAAATATGTCTTCTCAGGTAGAGTTCAACCAAAGTTCCCTCCTGGAATCAAACCCAGGCCTGACCTACTTCCTGCAGAACAAGGTTAAGACTTAGGTCAGAAGTTTGGAGACCTGAATGATCTTGCTAATGACCACTGCCCTGACTTGCTCCATTTTTTTTTTTTTTTTTTTGAGACAGGGTCTCACTCTGTCACCCAGGCTGGAGTGTAGTGACACAATCATAACTCACTACAGCCTTGAGCGCCCAAGCTTAAGCGATCTTCCTGCCTTGGCCTCTCAGAGTGCTGGCATTATAGGTGTGAACCACCATGTCTGGCCTCATTTGTTCCTTTTATTAGGCCTAGATTCTCTTTCCTTGGCTCTTACTATACTCTGAGAGTGTTTCTTTAATCTTCTCTCCCTAGATGATTTCATTCACTCCCACATCTTCTGTGTGAACGATTATCCTGACTCTCCTCAAAATATTTCATGGAGGTATTTCCAACTGCCTGCTAGAATTTCCATTTGAGTATCTTTCTTTTTAAATTTAGCCTGCCCAAATCTGAACCCAGTGCATTCCTTTTCAAACCTTTTTTATACATTTCCCAGTTCAAAATGACATCATAACCTTTTCAGCTACTTTACCGTAAATTCTTAGTTTCATTCTGGAATCTTCTCTGCAAGCCGAGTCTAGGCAGTCATCAAATTTTCTTAAATGCCATCACTAAAAGGTCTCTAACAGCCATCATGAATATGGCCAAGTTTAAGACTTTCTTACTCTAGAGTGACTACTGATTCTCAATTTGTTCCTTCGACCCACTTCTTATCTTTCCAGTGTTATTCCCCCACTGAGTTTATCTCTCTTAATACATAGAAATCCTCTTGTTATTTCAAAAATCATTGATTGCTGCTTATTTTATTCATTTATCAAAAATTTAAAAGCATCTACTATGTATTAGGGTCCATCCCAGGCACTGGTGACCGACCCACAATACACTACGGATCCACAGATACAAAGAAAACAGTTCATTTCTTCAAGGAGTTTACAGTTTGGCATTAGAGACGAAGAAGTTAGTGGGCAGTCACAACAAAATGAGATAATTTCTATAATAAAAACACAAGGTAGAAATGGATGCAAACATGGGCTTAGAACAGCATCCAAACTATCCTTAGATAGTGTAGGGTACAGGTAGGAAGGATGCAGGTGGTGGCTAGAGTTTTACGGAAGAACTAACATACAAGATGGGATTTTAAAGGATCAGCTACAGGATAGATGGAGGGGTAGTACGAGGGCTGAAGGCAGCGTTCAAATCTGTGAACCCAAGCCAGCTTCCAGACTCATTTCCTGAAGTGTCCCTGCCCACTTTATCATATAGCCAGTCAGGGTCAATATTACTTCTATAAAAATGTCACTTTTAGAAATCTGCCGTCTCATAAGTTTTCTAGAGTCAGAGAACTCAGGAAGCTAGCTAATGCTGAGAAGTATACATAAACCATTAACAGGCGTAGTATTACACATTTGTAAACACTCTCCATAATGTTTGCGTTGGTGGAAAAGAGAAATGCTGTTCTAGAAATTTTGTGGTAGTAACTTTAATTTTTAAAGCTTTTAATGTGGAAAATTCCCAGCATATGCAAAAGTAGCATGAATTGTACAGTAAATACCCAAGCCAGCTTCAACAACCACTAACGCTCCTCCATCTATAACCTTCTTAGGGATTAAATTGTGTCTCTCAAAAAAGATATGTTGAAGTCCTAACTTCCAGCACCTTAGAATGTGACCTTATTTAGAAATAGGGTCAAACTAAATGAGGTTATTAGGGTGCACCCTAGCCCATTATGACTAGTTCCTTGTAAAAAGGGGGAATTTCGACATGGGCATGCACAAAAGAAAGACAAGACGACACACAGGGAGAACACAATGTAAAGACTGAGGTGAGGATAGGATAGATGCAGCTCCAAGCCAAGGAATACCCAGGACTGTCAGCCACCACTACAAGCTCAGAATAGGCAAGGAAGAATTCTACCCAGAGTCTCAGAGGGAGCAGGACCCTGCCAGTACCTTGATTTTTGGACCTCCAGCAACTGCAAGACAATACATTTGCTGTTTTAAGCCACTCAGCTTGTGGTCCTTTGTCATGGCACTCCTAACAAACTAATGCAAATCCCTACATCTCTTCCACCAGATTATGCTAAGCATATCCCAGACATCAATAATTTTATTGATAAATATATTAAAACTACTCTTATTATGCCCACCAAAATTAACACTATTGTTTGCAGATATTTTTGTCCTTAGGATATAAACCACTAATAAATCAAACTGCTATGATGTGAAGGCATCTGAAATAATTCTTCACCATGTAGTTAAGCCTGAAATGCAATTAGAGTCATTTGTTTCACTTTACTTTCAATACTTAGGGAATACTTGCTTGTTCTTATTTAATTTTGTTTTAACATTTTATAAAACATTTTTATAGTTTCAAAGTCAAAACTGAGATATCTCAAAAGATTTTAGATTTTATCCCTGTTCCCTTCATCCTTCTTTTTCCTTCAGCTTACAGCTAACCATTTTTATTGATCTGCTTTTATCCTTTTTTTATTATTTTTTTAAGCACAGTCAGGCACTGCTTAACGATTGGGATATCTTCTGAGAAATGCATCATTAGGCTATTTTGTCATTATGAGAACATCATAGAACGTACCTTCACAAACCTAGATGGAATAGCCTACTACACACCTAAGCTACATGATATGCCCTATTGCTCCTGGGCTACAAACCTGTATAGTATGTGACTGCAGTGAATACTGTAGGCAACTATAACACAATGGTTAAGTATTTGTGTTATCTACATGTATGTAAACACAGAAAAGGAAATATATGGTATTATAATCTTATGGGACCACCGTCATTTGTGTGGTACACTGTTGACTGAAATGTTATGTGGTGCATCACGATATAAGCAAATATACACATACCACCTTTCGGGAGGTACCCCCCTCCTTTCTTAGCTAACAGTACTATACTTATCGTTCTGTACATTTCCCCACTTACTAATATATTCTACAGTGGAACATAGTGGTATTACAGAGGTCTTCCTCATTCTTCTTTACAGCTGCATAGAATCCACTGTGTGGATGTGCCACAGTTTATGACCACATTCCTTTAATGGACATTTGGGTTAACTCTAATTTTATTAAATTAGGACTTTACATTGGTACATGATAAGGGCACAGCTTTAAATCAATTTCCATACTGCTGATAAGCAAAAAGTAACATTTATAACATCCTGGCTCAAATCAGACCTGCTGGGCTACCATCATCCAAAGCCACATGTAACCAAGATCACTTCTTCCCCTAGCCAAGAAGAGAGCCAGCCTGCGGCCTCAGAACTACTTCCCAGAGGGAGGAAGTTCTCTATGTGCTGACATGGAAAGAGCTTCAATACACACCAAGCGGAAGGTGCAGAATATGATGCATTGTATACCAGTTGAGTATCCCTTATCCGAAATGCTTGGGACAGGAAGTGTTCTAAATTTTTTTTTTATTTTGGAATATTTGCATTATATTTACCAGTTGAGCATCCCTAATCTGAAAATCTGAAATCCAAAATGCTCCAGTGAGCATTTCCTTTGAATGTCATATAGGTGTTCAGAAAATTTTGGATTTTGGAGCATTTTGGATTTTGGATTTTTGGATAAGAGGCACTCAACCTGTATTATAACTGAGTGGAGAAAGAAACATATAAAAATACTTGTGTATATATACATAGAAGAGCTCTTCCATTTAGTGCTGCTGTCACTCCTTTACCTCTGATTTTGTCTCTCTCTGTAAGCATATTTCTCCACACAGTGCATTCTATACCTGTCCATCTCCTCCCTCTCACTCACCACTCATCAGCTCCATTCTGGCTTCTGCCCCACCACTGCCCTTGCTAAGGCACTATGACCTCCATGCAGCTAAGACAAGACACTCTCTTCAGTTCTCATCTAACTTACCTCTCGGCAGCATCTGACAGCGATCCTTGTCTCCCTTGAGACACATTCTTCCTATGCTAGAGTGACCCTCTATTTTCCTGCATGATGTTCTCGTTTTCCACAATCTCCTTCGTGTGCTAATTTTCCTCTATCTGATCTTTAATCCTTGAAGTTCCTTAGGGTTTAGTCCTAGACCCCCAATTCTTCTCACTCTGCCTCTTTCCACAGGCCAGATTCAATTACAAACTTAGACTCTAGGCAAGAGGTCTCCTCTGCTCTCTTCTCCCACTTTTAGGCAGCCTACTCAAAATAGCAACCTAGCTGCCTCAAAGACACCTCAAAGTCAACATGCCTAAAGCCAAATTCACGATTATTCCCTCCAACCTGTTTAGCCCATTGTTTCTGTAAATGGCAGCAGTTCTCCATCAAAACCTTAAGAGGTATCCTTAACACCGCTCTCTCTCAGCCCCCTCATCCAATCAATTAACAAGACCTGTTTATTCTACCACCTAAATGTGTCATAAATTCATCTACTTCTTACCTCCCTTGTGAGTCCCAGCCCTGTCTACCTCGTATCCCTGCCCACCAGAGATCAATACTCGCGTGTTTCACTCTACCTCAAATGAAAACTATCCCACACCAAAGGTGTCCTGTACCCTGATCACACTGGCTCCTCCTCCTCCCTCATGAACCTCATGGAAAGTGCCTTCTCCATTCTCCAGGCCTTACTAACTTCCTGCCTCCATGGCTGCAATAAGCCATGTAAGGATTCCCACCTCTAGTTTTGCTTCATTTTAAATCTATGCCGTTGGATGCTTCCAAAGTGACCATTCTTATTAAACTCAAATCACTTAAGAACTTCATGAATTAAAAAAAAAAGAACTTCATCAATATATTCTCTATGAAAAATTAAAACATTACATGTAAATAAAGTCCCCTTTCATCAGACCCATTCTCGATCCCATCCCAAATGTAACTAGTGTTACCAGCTGAGGTGTGTCCTCCTTTCTCTCTGGCTTATACGCACATCACACAAAGACACACACGCACATAATTTTTGTTAAACATAAATGGTGACATGTCATAATAATGCTCTTTAACTTGCTTTAGTACTTAATGAGCTTTGGAACTCTGTCCAAATCAGTGGGCTCTTTTGTTTTCAGTGTGACAATGTTTGTCAGAGTAAGAACACACTGTAGCTTCTTTAGTTATTCTTCTATTGAAGGACACTGAAATTGTTTCTGATTCAGATTAAAGTTTCTAAGATACCAAGGACCACGTGATTCTCTGCTTAACTCCTTCAATGATTTCCATTCCCCTACCACAGAGTGCACATCTTAGAACCGTAGCAGAGCACTTACCACATGGCCCTTCCCCAGCTTTCTAGGCTCATTTCCTTCTTTACCTCCTTCTTTCCCCAAATACATACCCTGAGCTTTAGCCAGAGTGAATTATTTGCAATTCCTTAAATACACTACGTTTGTCGAATGAATACATGAAAATGCAGCGCTGTTCTGAAATAACAGGAAAGAACAGAAAAGAGATTCTGAGAGTTTCATCTATGCAGTGAATACAACAGAATAAGCAGAAGCTCCTATCTAAGAGCCTGGGCTTCCTCTTCCTCACCACTTCCAGAGGACCGAAAACCCTGAAGGGAGTTTCCCAGCCCAAATCCAGGCTGCAGTTCCTCTTACTAGCCAGGCTATGGCCTGTAGCGGTTCCCGGCACATTGGGCCCACCCACTCACCTAGAGAGGGTCTGCCAGGACTCTCTCTCTCTACCTTCCACGGATCTTCTCCTTGCTGCAACAGGGAGATCACTTTTGGTTTGGTAAATGGGAGTCCTGCTCACAGACAGAAAAAAAACAAAATAAAAAACCAGACTTGATTTTGTTTTGACACAAAGAGTTTTCCCAGATTTAAGTGCCAAACCCAGAGGATGGTATAAAAAACTGCCGTGGGTTGCTTAAGTTGTGCCCCCATGATGTAAGGGGATGTGTTAAGGAAAAGGCAAGTGACTTGCAGGACACGACTCTGGTATAATTAACTGTATGTGAGGAAGATAAGATAAACATGCAGCCTTGGTAATTAATAGGGTGCCATTAGCTTTCCATAAAAGAGGGAATATGGGATGTAGACCGAATAAAATTTATAAGCAAGTATCTATAGAAAGGATTATGTACCAGGTAGCTTGTTTAAAATGAGAAAACACTATCTGACTCCTTTTCAACAAGTGCAGCAGTCATCAAACTATAGGCTGTGGGTCAAATCCAGACTACCGCTTGTTTATGCATGGACTTGTGCAAAGAACGGTGAAAAAAAAGAGAACTATGTTATAGAGACCATTATGTGGCAGACAAATCCTAAAATATTTACTACCCGGCTCTTTACAGAAAAAGTTTGCCAACCCCTGGAAAAGACAAGAGGGAAAGGTAAGTGGTAGGTTGAGGTTAAACAAAGCCCTATTGAGAGACGAGCAAACCAATCACAGAACAATCATTGTGGGGAAATGATGCCTTAATCATGTGCAATTATACAGAGGGAAGAGATGATTAGCAACACCACCTTCTCCATTCCCATACGTGGGGCAATTCCATGCCCATAAGGGGGAATATGCTTGTAATCTTTATTTTTAGAGATCTGATTAGTATAATCCTCAAACTCAGCTAAAGTTTTTTGATGACCTGCAGCTCTTACTCAGGGAAGGAGGTGCTGAGATGCTGCAATTTGTGTATTCAGTAACTGCAGGGGAAATGTCCTTACCCAGAGAGACCAGGTGACTATAGTTCTCCAGCATCACCTCTCGGTACAAGTTTCTCTGAGAAGGATCCAGCTTTCTCCACTCATCCCGACTGAAGAGCACAGCCACATCCTCGAACATCAGTGACACCTGCAAGGACAAGCCATTCCAGCTCACCCAGACCACCCCTCACAGAGTGAAGAGGGAAGCAGTAGAGGAGGCACACAGGACACCCATGAAATGCTTCTGATACTATTCAAGGTCCTGTATATCCTTTAACTCACCAATTACTATATTTGTAGTGTAATGAAAAGTGCAGAAAAGTGCAAATACAAAGATACCATCATAGTGTTTGTAATAGAAAAAAATGGAAACAACCTAAATACGCACTGATGGAGACTAGGTAAAATAACTGGTTTTTTTTTTGAGACAGAGTATGGCTCTATTTCCTGGGCTAGAGTGTCACGGCATCAGCCTCGCTCACAGCAACCTCTAATTCCTGGGCTCAAGTGATCCTCCTGCCTCAGCCTCCCCAGTAGATGGGACTACAGGTGCACACCACCATGCCCAGCTAATTTTTTCTATTTTTAGTAGAGACAGGGTCTTGCTCTTGCTCAGGCTGGTCTCGAACTCCTGAGCTCAAGAGATTCTCCCGCCTTGGCCTCCCAGAGTGCTAGGATTACAGGCATGAGCCACTGTGCCCTGCCTAGATTAAATAACTTAAGGCACTATATGTCTGCTTACTCAAGCTTGAGGATAGTAATTATAAAAATTAAAATAGCTATTAATATAATTTATTGAAGGTTTTATATGGGCCAATTACTTCTCTTGAAGTTTTACATTACTCTTTAGCATATACTCTTTATTTAATCTCCACAACAATCCTATGTAGAAGGTCCTATTATTGTTTCCATTTCATACAAGAAAAAACAAAGTCACAAAAAAGACATGAAATTTGTCCAAGTCACGTAGCTCGTGTAGAAGTGGAATGTCCATCGAGGTGAATGTCCGAGGCTCCATTTTTAACCACTCTGCAAAACTGCCTTGCAATGCCTACCTCTTAGGGTTAAGAAATAAATAATATTCAATGAAGATGGATAGTGATGACAGTTACACAACAATGTGAAAGTGCTTAAAATATCAGTGAATTATATACTCAAAAAGGGTTAAAATGGTAAAATTTCATGGTATATATATTTTGCCACAATAAAAATAGGTTAAAATGGTAAAATAAACACATATAGACAGACATGTGCACACAAATAGGTGGGCATAGAAAATGATTCTGAGGGATTCATTCCAAAGGGCTGATAGTGATTATCTCTAGATGTTACAGTAAGAGTGATTTTACTTTTTTATACATGTAGTTTTTTCCTCTAAATTATTACAATGAGCACACAATACATGTATGATAAGAAAGAAAATTTATTGACATTGGCATATGGGGAAATAAAAGAAATGATCTTTGCCCTCAAAGAATTTACAGTCCAACTGGCAGACAAAGAAAACACAAGAAATAACTTGAACAATGAAAGAAAACCATGTAACTAGACAGGAATGTATGCCACCTCCTAGTTCCATCTTCATATTGCAAATGAGGTCCACAGCAGCCAAGACTCCAGGCCACATGCTTTATTAGTGGCAGAAGCATAACTAAAATTTTCTAACTGTGAACCCAGAACTTGGGATGTTCTCTTTCTGACCTTTTTTTTTTTTTGAGACAGGTCTCACTCTGTTCACCCAGGCTGGATTTCAGTAGCATGATCACAGTTCACTGTATCCTCCAAATCTAGGGATCAAGCAATTCTCCTAGCTCAGCCTCCTGAGTAGCTGGGACTACAAGTATGTTCCATCATACCCAGCTAATTTGTGTGTGTGTGTGTGTGTGTGTGTGTGTGTGTGTGTGTGTTTCTGTACAGACTGGGTCTCACTATGTCGCCCAGGCTAGTCTCAACTCCTGGCCTCATGTGATCCTCCTGCCTCAGCTTCCTAAAGTTCTGGGATTACAGGCATGAACCACTGTTCTTACACTTCCTGTCACTGAATTTTACATACAAGTCCACAAAGTATTGATGCACGTGCAGCAGATGCGGTTAGAAAGGACTATGGTATTCACTCGCACACGAAGATGGAGAAGATTCTGGGCAGGAGAGCAACTTGGCTCTGTTGCAATAGAATGGGAAAGCCTTAAAGGAGAAAGAACAGACCAATTATGCAATTATGCAACGGCAGATCCTGGCTGTAGCCTTAGATCAGATCCCACTGCATTTGTGGGTCCAAAAGATAATACCACATTGTGGAAGGGCTCTGGTTACATGTGGCTGGTGCTCTGAAAGACATATCGAGTGGCAGCTGGATGGCCTGAGCATGGACTGAGGGTCATAATGTTAGGAGTTAGATGAAGATGGGCAAAGAAAAAACAAGTATTTTCTGGGTGCTAGAAATATTGTATAGCAATTTCTATGTATCAACATTAACATTATTATTAACATAGTAGTATCACTCAGCTCCCACAACCACCACATATTGAGCAGTTACCATGGTAACCTGAATTCAGATCCCACCCTGATCTAAACACTTTCCATGCACTAACTCAGGTGATCCTCTCACCTACCCTAGGAGGTAGGCACAGTTGTTATTCCCATTTTATAGTTAGGAAACTGGGGCACAGAAAGGTAGAGTTATTTGTCTAAGGCCCACAAACAGCAACAGAGATGGCCTCTCCAATACCAATACTCCACAAAACTCTCCCTCTGACTTCCTGAGGGGTCTTCTCTCTACTCTCAGAATCAGGAGGCCTCTTCATTGTGGCCTCTGCAACATGGCTCTCCTTTGTTCAGGCATTATCTCACCTGAACATAAAGATAAAAATAGCAGGTCTAGATCAGTTTTCAAGAGAGTGGTACAAACAAGGATTATGATCAGTAAACTTAAGAGGGAGAAAAAACTGAAAACTATGAGTTGGAGAAGACTGGGGAAGGATCATAAGCATTCTCAGGAGTAGAAAGAAAAAGAAAAGCATTCTCACAGGGGTAGGAAGGGAGACGTGGATGAGTGAAGGAGGCAGGGCCAGAAAGGATTTTTCCCAGGTGTGCATGTTTGCTCTGTCCCTAGTGACATAAGGACATGGGGCATCTTACCTATCAAATCAGTAACCGCACAGTGGATTGAGATTAGTGAACAGAAGTGTGTCTATTAGGAAAGGAAAAGAGCACTAGACGTGGACTGGGAGGGTAGGGAAGCATTCCCTAAGAATCCACCAATCCAAGGTAAAAGGACTTCTGCTCTGAAACCTGGTGATGACTGTACTGGGTAGAGAACTGCAGTGAGAAGGTTGAAAACAAAAAATCCACCCACTAAGAACACAGATGGCAATGAGCTCACCTGAGACCCTGCTTCCCTTTGCTCCGCAGCCATGTCCTCCTCTGGGCTCCTCCCCCGAGGATGGGTGCAGTCTCCAGAAGGCAGATCTGCGAGAAGAAAAGGGGAGCCAGGAGGAAGCCCCTTCTGCTTTCCAGCCCTGAGAGTCAGCAGCTCCGAAATCCTTACACCACCCGACAATGACCCCGTGTGCCCTCAGAGACGGAAGACAGGACCCAGGAGTCCAGAGAACCAGAGAGAAGGGCTGGGCCATGCTGGTCCAGGCCCCAGCTCTCGCTGGCTCAGAGTCCAGAGAACAGGACTCCAGCAGCGGCAGCGACTCCGAGCCCCCTGCCTACGTCGTCAGTCCCGCAGCGCCAGCTGGCATTGCTGGCGCCCCCATTTTACAGACCAGGAAACTGAGGACGGAGTGGGGGCCGCTCGCCCCGCTGCACACCGCCAGCGAGGGTGGCACCGCGACCGGCCCCGAGCATCCGCTCTGATCCCACTGCGCGCCGTTGCCAGCTTTCCTCCTCCTCAAGCCTTTCCCACCCGAATCCTCTCCCCCCTGTCAAGGAATCAAATTCCAGACTTTTACGGCCAATTACCTCAAGAAAGGAGAGTGCTGGAGGGGGCCGACTGCAGGAACCCGCACAGAAACCGAAGTTCCGAGCCCGCCCTGGCCCCGCCACGGGGGAACGCGCGCCCCGCTCCCGCGGAAGGCGCACCGCCGCGCCCGCGCCGAGGGAGGAAGCGCGTCCCCCACGCGCCCACCGAGGCCGCGGCGCCGGGCGGGAGCGCGCTGGGAGCGGCCTGCAGGCAGCAGGAGCGAGGCCCGCCCGGCGCCGGCG